AAATAATTGACAGAATTTACAGATAAAATCAACAGAACCGACATCCGATAGCCGGTAACTGTTTTGACATTTGGTTAATCTATTTCAGGAAACCAAGGTCCAAAAGTAACCATTTTTCCAGGAACCAGAATAATTTGATTACTTTCGGACCGCTAAACCACAACCCTGGTTATATTCGGACCACAGCCTTAATTATTATAATTTAGACATGCGAAAGATTCAACATTCAGCCTTTTAAGTTTTTTTATTAGCTAAGCAGTGATGTGGATGTAGGCCGGAATTATCATAATTTAATTGATACTTGAGTAGTTAGTTACACAGCCTCCTATAGTTAACAAGCCATGAAGTTGGAAATGACGGCAACGTCGCGTATGGTGCTATTTTGTTATTGGGTTGTGTGTTTCTGTGTATTGCTTTCATTGTGTATTGTTGTAATTTAGTATTTTTATGGGCATTATTGACGAAAAAGTGGATAGAAACACCAATATATTCCCCATATTTAGTTCATACCTGTTCCTTTGTGCTTTGATTGCAAATTTTTAGCAAATGGGTACAGGAGCAAAAATGAAGGTAAGGTAAGGTAAAACAATAAAAAGAATATTAATATTTGTCTGCAAGAGCATAGGTCTCGATATATTACCTAAGATATTTAAACTTGTTCCAGATGCCATGAAACTACTGTGTTCCTGGGTGCAAATCGAACTATTAGGAGTTCCTTAAAAACTGAAGAAATGCAAACATTGTTATTTCCAAAAAAATTCTGAAGTGCAAAAAATGTGGATGAAAGCAATACACCAAGATAATTATACCCGAGATTATACAATAAATTCTGTGGTGTGTTGTAAACATTTTGAAGAAACTGAAATAATTAGATTTGAAACAAACAAAGGATAAAGGCGTAGTTCGAGAGTTCAAACTAAAACGTCCAACTCTCAAAAGTAGGTACCTCTTATTTTCGAAAATCAGCTCAAGTATTTGAATGGACTTTCCTTCCGAAAAAATCCCGAAGAACGAAAAAGCTAGATTTTCAAAAGACATACTGAAATATAGGCCTATAACACTTTAGACTCTAGAAATATATTCATTTAAATCAATTATTTACTGTTCTTATTTACACAAATAGTTAAATTATTCATTGAATTACTGTTTTTGTCCCTTTGGTACAATAAATTATGCATTTTTTGTGATTCATATTAATAAAATAAGAAATATATATTTATACAAACAAACACCACCAGCACCACTTGGCGGTAAGATTCCGGTGTTGCCTTTTTAACTTCATGGCTTGTTAAATGTAGGGGGCTGTGGTAGTTATAATACTTATAGTCGGGATTCGTGTAAGTTGGCGGAAATTGTCGAAGAAAAATTTTTTCCAATACGTCAGCTTTTTTACGAATCTTTCACTTCCTACTTTATATCTGCTCTGCATTTACTTATTACTTACAATATTTATTCCACTAATACCTACCCTCATTTGCTGGACTTGATGCATTAGGTGCCCTAGCTGGTGAAGCTGCGGGTATTGCAAAAGCGATAAACGATACTCATCTAAATATTGGAAATTTTCAAATCATTAATTCGCTGACAATACCATGCTTCAAAAAGCAATCTGAAGGGGGAAAGCGCAATGCAACACACGATGCTTGTGGATGAAATAAGTCGACACGACACCCTCAGCATGCCTTTTGTTCTGACATAATGTCAAAGAAAGCCAACTTTGGTTCGCCCTTTAAAACAATGATTCCCGACAGAGACCTATGAGGCGGCGACAGGATCGAGCTACTGAAGACATACATCGAAAAATAAGATCAACTTGCATAAGTTGGATCTGAGCCTAACTTCATTGTACCGGAACCAGTACTGGGAATAGCCCTAAATACCGCTAACCCCGCAATCTCGACCTGGACCAATATACACAGGATCGGATTAGCAAAAGATGCTGTGTTGCCTGTGCATGGAAGAGGACGAAACTGCAGAACTTGTCCTATGCACGTGTCTTGTCGGGCAATAGCCAGAGTCAGGCTCGCTGTATTCGGGGAGTCAGCTGTTCAACCCGAATACATAAAGCATACTTCCCCAACGCTTATTCCCAACTTCATCAGAAGGGCTGGACTGACGGGGGAAATATAAACTCGGAGTGACCAACATGAAACCGCACGTTACAGTGGAAGGGCCGAAATAGGACCACTCACAGAAAACCTAACTCAAGTAATCGGAATATTTTACAGGTTGACTCGTTGAGCCAACTTTTGATGCGCCTGGCAGCGATTTCTCTCTTTATATTGCTTGATAGCATACATAGGATATGTCTTGATTATCAAAGCTTACAGATGTATTTTTGAATAGATTATATCAGCTTACTCAATGAATACCTACCATGTATTTTGGACAATGAAGCATGTTTTGATTTGATCTGATTTGATTAGCTGCCAAACCATCTTTCATCCATATAGGTGATATTTAACTCTAAGAAGCAAATCCTAAGCAGCTTGAAAAACTAATTATGACTTACTTCCCGTAGGACATCCACATGGGACTCCGAATGGAAAAATGTGGATATATTATAGCTAATCGCCATTAAAAGACACACCCTATCGATATTATCATTTTTTTATAGTTATCAATGACACTAGTTCGATATGAACACCATAATAAAACGCGTGTAATGTTAAACCACGAGGCGTTAGCCGAGTAGTTTAGTTACACAAGTTTCATTGATAAAGTTCATATCGAACGTGTGTCATTCAAAACTTAATCTACGATGGTCCAAATAGATCTTTTTGTATATTTTTTATTGTATAATTTGGGTGTTATTATGAATTCTCATAATCGCACTAGTGCTATTATGAAGGACCTAATGACATTCAAATGAGAATGTTAAATGTGTCCTAATGACAACGACGTAGATTAAATAATAAAATGCCAATCGTGTACGAGATGTTTGAGGCAAAAATAGGATGTCGTTATGATGTATTGGAGCAATATGATTATCTAACTCAAGATGGGGTCCTTCCTACAATTTGTTGAAACTTTCAGATTTGAAAAACATTTTATTTTCATTATAGTTTTTCAATTAAAACCTCAAAATGTATTTCCAGTAGATTTTTTTTATTGTAATGCCTACTGGCAATATTCAGTGACCCCAGCAACCCGGCCCCTTCTCTCGTAGGCAGGACCTCTAAACCGTCATGAAAATACATCCGTTAAATCTTTCGTGGAGGGGACACTCAAGAAAAATCGTTTTTAACACTTTTGCTTTTCGAGGAGTTTTCTCGTTTCGAGTAAAAAACACGAAAAAGCGGCAACGCGAATACAAAGAACGATATTTCAAGCGGAGAGAGACGCAAGGCCAGAAGGGACCCTCGAGAGCTCAAGTGTTTTTGTTTTTTATCGTCCGGGAATTTGAATGGATACTTGTAGCCCTCCTCTACCGAACAAAATTTAGCACTCAAGACCTTGCGGGCAAAGGGCCTTTCTACGGTTTGATGCAAATTTTTATTATATGGCGTCAAAGCACAAAATTTATCAATCAATCTACTGATTGTGAGATGTCGAAAACGCATTAAATATTTGTGTCTTTTTACAACTTTATATTCAAAATATGACAATTATTGTACATTCAGACTATGATTTATCTATTGCAATTCCCGAAAACAAAGTTGGGTGCGTCAGCAGAGTTAAATGGACTAAAACTCCTTTGACAGTCAACAGGGACAGATGTGATCTATCCCATAATGTTACAGAATGGAACTGAACTAGTACACAGGATACTCTGCGACATTCTAAGAAATAGCCTAGCCTTTGGCTATATACCAAAGACTAAGAGGCACATTAGACTAACGTTCATACCAGAACCAGAAAAAATAGGACAACACACGGCAAAGTCCCTAAGACCCATTAGTCTTACGTCATTTGAGCTTAAGACTGAAAAAAATTGTGGATAAGCAAATTAGGGACGGTGTGTTGGCAAGCCTACCACTTCACACAGAATAAGATAATTATTTTTGTGATTCAATTTATATTTTAAATTAATTCGATTTTTAATGTCATTTTCCATAATGAAGTCTTTATTAATGCCTAGAGGCTACCGATTGGCTGATCAATAACTAGTTACACTAATTATACATATTTTTTCCAATAGAAATTAATCACTTAAACCCTGATAGATTTATGAAGATAAACACTCATAATTTAAATTTCATCAGCTACTGGATTGCAATTTGAATGAATGAATCTTTTACTTGAAATTTGAATGTTTTCTTGAAGAGTTTGTGTCGAAAACTAATGGAGTTTACTTACCTCCCATTTCCAATTTTCCGAATAAACAAAGATATGAATGCGCGGTTTGCAAAATTTGAAATAATAATAATTGTGTGAAGCTTGTTTGTCCCAACTATCTCAGGTTGAAACATCTTACGACTTCTACAGCCTGCATGTTTTTCACTAAACTCTTTAAGTATACCAGCACATCCAATCTTCCTCTAAATTGTCAATTAAAATTGATTATTGGTGGCTTCCCTATCACAAATTCCATACACGCATGGGCTTAAACTTCCCTAGTATGGCCCTGAGGGCGTTATCTTGGCAAATATTCATTTATATTTGAGATAGACGTGAGGGGCAGAAAAACTGTATCTTCTTTGTGATTCTCTTTCTATGTAGGTGTATTTCTTGTTTATGTCTGAAATATTAACGATGTCCAATCGGCGAACCTGTCACCAAGACGTTGCCGCAGGCAAATTTATATTGATATAAATATTTTATATCAAAAAACTAGAATTACTTTGAGTGACTTGGAAGGAAATATAATTTTCTGACGAAATAATTACAAACCCCGGCTTTGGTAGCCTCATTAATAAAGTTGGATATTTGTTGGAAACTTTGAACTACACTCAGTGATTTTGAATATAACGTATACATATAAATAATTGTGGAACTTAGTTGAATCAATACTTTTCTGTCCTGTGAAATACGAATACAAATTTGGAGCTTTAACTTACCTATGGTCGTCAAAACAGTCAAAGAATACAAAAAAGCTTTGGCAAAAGTCCATTCGAAATGTTCCCCATGCCGGCCTCTATCTTTAGCCACCATCAATGGCTGTTGTTGAGCGATTTCTTCTTTCATGGATTCTAAAAGCTCGTTTTGAAACCTACAAATTTAAGCTTTCTATTTAATATGAATAAAGAAAAAATAATGAACTAATTTCGTAGAAATTTTTATAATAAATTGTCATCATAAGACAACACATCAATCAGTTTCAAATACATGGTTTTGTTTCACAAAAAACCGATCCACCTACCTAGTTATTTCTTGAGCAGCTAAAATGGTCCAGTTTTCCTTATACAAAATATTGAGTCCTTCGGTAATTATCCACAAGTTTTCTACAGTCTTGGTACGTGACTTGTCGTTTTTGGTTTTCATTTCCGATGTTTGGTTAACGTATTTTTTGTTGTTGGTACTAGTACTATCTGATGTTGCTAACGAGGTTGTTGCTAGGATTTGATGTTGGTAAGTATGACCTCCTGGAAATTAGGGTCTTAGCAAAATTGAATTAGATTCTCTATAAATTCTTACCTTCTATACTCAAAAAGATCACAGATCCAATCAAAGTGTACCCAAACAGTAAAATACATATTCCTAAGTTTGTAGCCAGGCCAGTGAAAAACGCCCTGCTTTTCCTTTTAGTCTTTTTGCCCATACAATTACACGAGGCTTCGGTGGACTTTTGAAGAGGTTTCGAGGCTTTATCTTGCCTCCTCAAGGAATTTGTGTTGCTTATTGGGTTCGATTTGGTGACTGCTGGGTAGGGCTCGTAACAGAAATGACCTATAATAATAATAATAATTTTAATTCACTGAAATTCAATAAATTTTAATAAATTGGGAGAGGCGTATACATTTTAGTCAATTTTCTTAATACCTAATAATACATGAAGTAAAGTTTGCTATGTAGGAAGCCTAAATTGGCTCTAATAACTCAAAGTTACTTGACAACAAGTTAATTATATCTTGGAAGGCTTTGTGGGGCTTGGAAGCGGAGACCTTACATATTCTTGTCCGAGTTGAGATAAATTGTAATATATTGAAGACTAGGAAATATAAACAATATTTCATCCATTTCCTAGTGTTCTGTTTACATTTAAAATAATATGTTTAATTAATCACATTAAACTCTTCTTTTCTTGGTAACTCTGTGTAACGTTATTCATAAGTTCAAGTTTAATACTTTTGAGGCATTTAAGGGAATATCGCGCGTGTGCGGCGAAAAAGGACAAAAAACGACTTTGGTGCTAGTTAAAATATTGCTATCAGCCCGAGAGAAGCAGAACGTCCGTCAACCAAACGACATTGTTTTTCCATAGGAACTTTTAATAGAGAACCCGCATTTTTAAATAGTTTACCCGCATAAAATTATAGAGAACCCGCAACTAATTGTTTAATTTACCGAGTTTCGTGGTTTAAGAACAGAACAGAACAACCGTCGACAGGCCAGTCAGGGAAAACGTGCGTGAGTGAATAAGGTGTCCGTGGACACCTATAAATGGAAGCCTTCATTGCCAGAAATTCAAGGTAATGTCTCAAAACCTGTATTGTATTTGCATTATAAAAAATTTGATACAGTCCACTTATCTCACACTGAGCCTTGAAATAGTTCGTATTTTTCTATTTTAAAGATTTTGAAAAGTCAAAATTTTACTAAAGATTACACATGATTTTTGGTCCTTCGCCGAATGAACAAGTTACTTGAACTCCACTTTCAAAAATTAATATAAATAAATAAGTTTGTTTGTAAATTATTTATAAGTATTGGAAAAAAATTCATTGATCTGGTTGTTCATTTTATTTATTAGTAGGTACCTATAGAATATTTAAATATAAATTTTTCTATTGGAGTCAAATTTGCTTATAATAAATTGTTATTTGCTTGAGTGCACAAATTCCAGTAAATAGTATCTATTGTTCATTTTATCAGTTAAATTTTAAATTTAAACTAATTTTTTGTGCATTCCGCTGTCCAAATTCCAAGATAGATTTGCAAGGTATTTCGGCCGAGCGGAACACTAAGTCGTTTAAGCATGCGCACGTGACGACGTACTTTTCACTCACTCTCGCGCGTCGGATCTACCTTTTCCTCTTTTGAGTATTTCAGGTCTTCATTGCGACACCACTACAAAGCTTTGGGGATGCCGGCCGTCGCTGGGCGTATATAGTGGCTCAAATAAAGTTTTTGAAATTGCGCGCGCGCGTATTCTGTGCATTCCTATTTGCTCTTTCGGTCAATTATTGGATATTTTTGATGATAATTTGGCTGCTCTTCGCAATTTGAACATGCCAGTTGATGCTTGGGATTTCATCTTAGTCCAAATGCTGCTTAAACGCATAGATATTTCAGTTGCTACTAAGTTTGAATTGCAGCATGACTCTCATGCAACCCCCAAGACAATGTTTCTTCTAGCCAGTTTTGTGTGAAAGATAAGAAAACTTCTAAAAGGGAAGATAACAAATCTTCTCTTCCCTCCCCTAAACTTAGTCTTTTGGCTGGCACAGTCTAACTCTGGAGTTAAAAATGGCCCTGTGTGTAAGAACAAACATGCCATATATAGATGTCCTACTTTTTTGGAAAAAACCCCGCAAGAACGTTATCAATTAGTTCTCTCTCGCCGCATTTGTCTAACTTGTCTTAACAATTCTCATCCTATTAGGGATTGTAAATCGCCTCATGTTTGCTTCAAAAACAAAAACATCATACTCTGTTGCATTTTGAACGCGCTGACAAAAAACCTGGACCTGGTAATGCTGCAACGCCTGGTTCAAGTATCACCACGGCGGATCAGATTCTGCAAAATTCGGACAGTTCTCAACATTTAGCTGCTAATGGAATTTTGTAGAAAAATGTCAATATTCTCTTATCCACCGCCATTGTGGAAGTATTAGACGGTACGGGCCAGTTTCAAAAAATTCGCATACTTTTGGATTCCGGCTCCTAGTTGCCCTTTATCTCTCAAGACTGTGTAAGGCGCTTAGGCTTATCGTATTACGAGACCACTTACTCTGTTCAAGGATTGGGTCAATCAGCAATTTCAAAATGCCCGAAGGGCATATTCACCAAACTTCGTCCTTCTATGAAAGTTTCGCCTGTTTTCGATGTCGAAGCTGTTGTACTACCCAAATTTTGCGGCGACCAGCCTAATGGTACGATTTCCGTACAAGCCTGGCCGTATTTACCTACTCATCTATTGGCTGATCCCTTCTATAATAGTCCTGGTCCCATTCATATGCTCATTGGAGCTCCCCTATTCCCGTATATTTTACAGGATGGTCGACTTACTGGTGGTGTCAATGAACCTGTAGCACTCAATACGATATTTGGATTTATACTTATGGGAAAGACAACCTCTACTTCTACCCCCTTGTTTTCTCAATCGCATCTGTGTCTCCATTCTTCCCTTGAAGAAACAGTCCAGAAATTTTGGGAGGTTGAAGAGGTACCTCACGTAAGGGTGTTGTTTCCTGACGATGCTAATTGTGAACAAATATTTGCAAACATTTCGTATAGAGACCCTTCTAGTAGATTTGTAGTAGGTATCACTTCCTTTTAAAAGGCCAAGCCTGATCTTTCCAAAGAGTAGAGATTTAGCGCTGCAGAATTTTCTGTCCTTAGAACGCCGTTTCGAAAAAACTGTGCCTCTTTATGCTGCGTATTCTGATTTTATCAAGGTTTATATAGAATTGGGCCATATAGAACTTATTTCCTCTGATATTCTACCAGCCCATCATTTTTATATACCCCATCACTGTGTTATAAAACCTACTAGCCCTACAACCAAAGTTCGAGTTGTATTCAATGCTTCCGCCAAATCTGCCGGACAGGAATCACTCAATGATTGTCTATTTTCTGGCACCAAGCTTCAAACAGATATAGTTCGCATTCTTCCGTGTTTTAGGATTCATAGATTCGTATTCACTGCTGATATTCGTCAAATATTTCGACAAATTTTAGTAGATTCGCAGCACGATGATTATTAAAGTATCCTTTGGAGATTTTTTAAGACCGAACCTATAGCCGATTATCGTCTTCTCACTGTCAGTTATGGACTTACTGGCCATAAAATCGCTACTTACGCTGGCTGAAATAGCAGAGGACAATTATCCAGCGGCCGCGAATGTGATTTTAAATTCTTCCTATGTGGATGATCTAACTGGAAGCTCTTCTACGATAGGGGAAGCCAGCGAGCTGCAAAAGAATTTGATCTCGTTGCTTTCCAAAGGCGGTTTCGAGTTGCGTAAGTGGTGCAGCAATGACCCCCGGTTGTTAACTGATTTTCCTCCTTCGCATCTCTATAGCGAGGATTTATCTCTTAAGATTCTGGGTTTGCAATAGAACCATGCTTCTGATACGTTTGACTCTTGCGTCAACCCTATGGAAAAGGGTTGTACAAAACGTATTTTATTGTCTTTAGCAGAAATATTTGATCCTCTTGGAATCTTATTCCCTGTAACTTTTTTTGTTAAGCATTTTATTCAAAGATTATGGTATCAAAAGTTGGATTGGGATGAAACCCCAACTAATGACATAGTGCGTCTCTGGGATCAATATACCAATACAGTATCGTCTTTGTCAGATTATAAAATAGCTCGTTACCTTTTTCCCCAACCCTATGTTAGTCTTGACCTTCACGGGTGCTGCGAAAGTTCGGAGAAGGGATGCAGTTATTTTTTTTTGTGCTGTGCTTCCTGATGATAAAGTTACCACTCATTTTGTTTGTGCCAAGTCTAAAGTGGCGCCGCTCAAAACTATCTCCATTCCTCGCTTGGAGCTATGTGCCGCAGTTTTATTGTCTCGTTTGTTATCTTATTTGCTTGGCGTCTGTTCAATCAAACTCATGATTTACCTATACCTAGTGGTTGCACCTCAATCTTGAAATGACAAGGCATGATTAGTACCTATTAGGTAGGTACCTGATGGTACCTGGACTACCTCAAACAAAATATAAAGAAGATATCCATGGATGATTGGTGGCTAGAAACCAACGAGACAAAAGAAAAGACAATTATAGTTATTTATGTATCAAGGGAATTATGCAGGTATTAACTCCTGATAATTCCCGTGGTACATAGATAATTTTATATCCTACTGAATTTACTGTATTCTGTCTATTTTTATAAAGGAATAAGCCATAAATCAAAATTTCTATTTTTTGTCAAAGTGTTACCTATTCAAGGTAAAAGCGGGAGTTATGGAAATCCTTAACTCCCTTGGGAGTTATGATATCCTTAACTCCCTTCCTTAACTCCCTTGGGAGTTATGAAAATCCTTAACTCCCTTGGGAGTTAAGACCCTGTTTATGATTATCGTAACCAAGGTATTATATGGTTTTAATAGTTCAGTAGGATATAATAGTTATTTATGTATCAAGGGAATTATGCAGGTGTTAATACCCCAGGGCAACGTTTGTGTCCCGAGGGCCTCCGGCCCGAGGGACACCAATTGCCCGTGGGTATTAACTCCGGATAATTCCCGTGGTACATAGATAATTTTATATCCTACTGAATTTACTGTATTCTGTCTATTTTTATAAAGGAATAAGCCATAAATCAAAATTTCTATTTTTTGTCAAAGTGTTACCTATTCAAGGTAAAAGCGGGAGTTATGGAAATCCTTAACTCCCTTGGGAGTTATGATATCCTTAACTCCCTTCCTTAACTCCCTTGGGAGTTATGAAAATCCTTAACTCCCTTGGGAGTTAAGACCCTGTTTATGATTATCGTAACCAAGGTACTATATGGTTTTAATAGTTCAGTAGGATATAAAATAATTAATAATAATTTTGTAAAAAAGTTAATAAAGCACGTACATTTTTCTGAAGACTCCACAGAACATATCACCTCTAGAAAAGTATCTGCAATGGTATGTACCGGTTATGAATTACGGCGCCCTCGTTGACTGAAAACCCAACTAATCGAGTATTCTTGACAAAAAGGCGAATTGATTTTTTTCATATATTTTTATTATTTTTGTATAATTTTTAATGTTCAACTGCATTTGGCTTGCTGACTCCTCTTAGCTCTTTTCGCCTTATTTTTTTAAAAACTATGACTGGCAGGAAGTTTCCGATGTCGAACATAGTGCAAAAAGAGTTAGTAAGTTAGCAAGAGACACGCAGTTATAGGTAGATCGCAAAGTAAAGACGAATAATAAATACAAATACGAACGAAACGAAACAAACGAACAAATACAAAAAATACGAACAAAAATTAGGTTTTTTTTCAACCAAAACTTTTTGAATTTTCACTTTAACGCACGTGGAAACCATTCTGTGCCGTGGGGTACAACAACACAATTTAAAAATTCAAATTTTGACTTTTAAAATGACAAAATAAATGACAAAACCAACCAACACAAATCACTGTCCACACCACAGATACCTGTAAATTTCTCTTATCTCCCGACAGTGTCGCCATCGTTGAATGAAAACCTAACTAAAAACCTTTGTCGCGATTCTTCCATTTGAGATATTTTTCTATAGGTGATATGTTCTGTGGAAGACTCCTTCCAGGCCCTGCGATCTCTCATTGCCAGTTATAAACCACATAATAACTCTTTTCCGTTTTTCTAGATGTCGCTGACAACCACAGAATTGTCAAAATTGGAAAATACCAGCACATCAAGAACACGTCCGATGTCGATAATATTGACATGAGATTGACATGTCAACATATGACAATATGCCAAAATATTCATTTGATCATAACTAATAATTCATAATGTTTTTTGTTCGCCGGTCTTTCATTTTCATTTCATCTTTCTTTGTGTTGTCAAGTGTTCTTAAGTGATTTCAAAGTTGTTTTGTGTGTTTCAAGAAGAACTTCAAACTTTATAGATTGGAAGATCTATTTTTATCTTTGTTGATTAGATAAATGACAGGTTCAATTAAAAATTAATCAGAACTTTGAATAAATATGTTAAGGATACCCTTAACCATCGATAAAGAAACTGTCTTTTGATCTAATTAACAAATTATCAATTAATTTAAGCAAACATTAATGCCTCAAAGTCCAGAATAAACGAATTTGAACAGGCCGACAGTAATGCGAACAGGGCGCCATCTATCATAAAAAGTCCTTTGTAAAGTAGGTGTCTGTAACATCGATGCAAAACCAGTAAATAGTGATTTTCCGATATGGTAGATGGCGCTGGCTTGGCTCAATTTTGTTGACAAAAAAATTTACACTGAGATTCCATTCTCGACAGTTTATATAGTATTTATCTCTGACTCCTTCACAGAACAATCACCTATAGAAAAATATCTCAAATGGAAGAATCGCGACAAAGGTTTTTAGTTAGGTTTTCATTCAACGATGGCGACACTGTCGGGAGATAAGAGAAATTTACAGGTATCTGTGGTGTGGACAGTGATTTGTGTTGGTTGGTTTTGTCATTTATTTTGTCATTTTAAAAGTCAAAATTTGAATTTTTAAATTGTGTTGTTGTACCCCACGGTTTCCACGCGCGTTAAAGTGAAAAATTCAAAAAGTTTTGGTTGAAAAAAAACCTAATTTTTGTTCGTATTTTTTTGTATTTATTCGTTTGTTTCGTTTCGTTCGTATTTGTATTTATTATTCGTATTTACTTTGCGATCTATCTATAACTGCGTGTCTCTTGCTAACTTACTAACTCTTTTGCACTATGTTCGACATCGGAAACTTCCTGCCAGTCATAGTTTTTAAAAAAATGAGGCGAAAAGAGCTAAGAAGAGTCAGCAAGCCAAATGCAGTTGAACATTAAAAATTATACAAAAATAATAAAAATATATGAAAAAAATCAATTCGCCTTTTTGTCAAGAATACTCGATTAGTTGGGTTTTCAGTCAACGAGGGCGCCGTAATTCATAACCGGTACATACCATTGCAGATACTTTTCTAGAGGTGATATGTTCTGTGGACTCCTTGTGCAATCAATCACGCATACTTATATGGTCCTTCGATGCTCGAACCTTACTTGATCATTTCAACGCAACATTTTGGACGCTTCGAACCGGATGAACAGCAGAAATCCTTTGGATGAGTAAACAATTCAAGCACAAGGAAGTCTAGCTGGTGAGCCCGTTTCAATTTGCGTTCCCGTCATTCATTTTTTACAAATAATACTTCTTTCCACGTAGAATTTAGACTCGTTTTAGCTGATTATTATTTTAAATTAGTTACAATTTTTATTTGTCACGATTTTTTGCATAATTCTACGTTTTTTCGGAACTTCACGCACGTAACGTTTATTTAATCTCGTATCATCTTCACGCCAATTTCACGTATATATCGATTATTTAACTCTCGTAAATTTCAAGATTTTCACGTATACTCGAATACTGATCTATAATTTACTCGTAAATTTTAATATTTTCACGTAAACTCGAACATTGACTCGTATATTTTTATATTTTCACGCAAACTCGAATATTGAATCGTTCATTTTCATATTTTCTCGTAAACTCGAATATTGACTCGTATATTTTTATATTTTCACGTAAACTCGAATATTGACTCGTACATTTCCATAATATTTTCACGTAAACTCGAATATTGACTCGTACATTTCCATAATATTTTCTCGTAAACTCGAATATTGACTCGTTCATTTCTATATTTTCACGTAAACTCGAATATCGACTCGTAATTTGCCCATATACTCGAACTTAAAAAATATATATATATATATATATATATATATATATATATATATATATATATATATATATATATATATAGTTAGAGGGTAGTCTTGGCTGACTAGTTAACGAAACAAAGTTATTAATTTCTTGGGGTATCAGCCTATTTCTTCGGGACTAGTTCAATAAAAAACTCTTTTCTGCTACGCCAAGCTTTCGAAAATGTTTTATTTTCTTCTCAAGGCTACAATTTGAAAATAAAATGTTAGATAATAATAGGCAATACTGAATTAAGGGAATATTTACCCTGTGTGCAAAGTGAGTCAATCACATAATGGACTTTTGACTACCTTTGCCAACATTGGAGACATCCTTTCCACTTATTGGTCACAATAAATATATGTTAAGTTGTTCAAACAAACACAACATTAATTAGAATTATAAAATATTAGAGAGATTACATTCTTAATTCTATTTTATTTCGGGACGTTTCTTCCCTTTCACGTGCGAAACAAAATGGAGAGCACCTAAGACAAAAATTCAAAAAACCTATTTCCTGTTACCATGAGGAATGTCATATTCGGCTATGCCACCTGTCGGAATAACATTGAAAGGTTACTGTTGTACCTATTGTTGCTAAATTATTATAGCTTTTCATTGATAGATGGCGTATCGATTGTTGTTAATAAAGTGTTGAAATTTGCTCGAAGATGGAGTGGGTGTCCCAATTGAATGATCAGTGCATTTTGGCGACTGTTCCAACATTGATAATCCAAAGTATAAAACACATCATAAATCAACATAATTAAGTGTCACCTTCCAGCAGATCCCACTTCTGCTGGGGGTGAAACTCAAGGTGTAGATTCCAGTCTCCACATCCGGAAACCCACCACATCTGTCACATGAGAGCAAGATCCATCGTGAAAGACTTTTTGGCTGAAAAATTGTAATATATGAACAATGATGAATGAAAAATGACTGTTAATCTCCAGAGAACCCAACTCTGTCCTCAGTCTTCACTTCTGGGTCAGTTAAGTGTATTTCTAGAATTAAACACTACCTCCAGCAGATCCCACTTCTGCTGGGGGCAATATTCAAGGTGTATCTGTTAGTCTATGCGTCCGAAAACCGTCCCATCTGTCACTTGAGTACAGAGTTCGTCCACCTAGACCCTTTTGCTAACTCAGAAGGAGGCAACACAAGGACCACAACAACCTAGAAAACACCCATCATAATACCAAATATCAAAACAAACCAACACTCGATATCCTCCCTCGTACAACACGTCTCCAACAAGTAGCATAGTCGAAAACAACCAACCTATTCTGCCAAAGAATCATTATTGTCTGTACCCTTACCCAACGTCAGCAAGTGCGAATAAATAGCCCTTGTTTCATCGACATCATTCTTTTTGTTAAGAGAATTAAGATTTTGGCAAGTTTCCAGCATCTCGAGGAAAAGCCTCTTTTTAGTGTGACTTTCAGAACACACCACCTTGGTTTGGTTATAGTTAGGAATGTGCCCTGTATCGATGTGATGTTCAGCCAATTCATCATTGTTCATATATTACAATTTTTCAGCCAAAAAGTCTTTCACGATGGATCTTGCTCTCATGTGACAGATGTGGTGGGTTTCCGGATGTGGAGACTGGAATCTACACCTTGAGTTTCACCCCCAGCAGAAGTGGGATCTGCTGGAGGTGACACTTAATTATGTTGATTTATGATGTGTTTTATACTTTGGATTATCAATGTTGGAACAGTCGCCAAAATGCACTGATCATTCAATTGGGACACCCACTCCATCTTCGAGCAAATTTCAACACTTTATTAACAACAATCGATACGCCATCTATCAATGAAAAGCTATAATAATTTAGCAACAATAGGTACAACAGTAACCTTTCAATGTTATTCCGACAGGTGGCATAGCCGAATATGACAATTTTTGTCTTAGGTGCTCTCCATTTTATTTCGCACGTGAAAGGGAAGAAACGTCCCGAAATAAAATAGAATTAAGAATGTAATCTCTCTAATATTTTATAATTCTAATTAATGTTGTGTTTGTTTGAACAACTTAACATATATTTATTGTGACCAATAAGTGGAAGGATGTCTCCAATGTTGGCAAAGGTAGTCAAAAGTCCATTATGTGATTGACTCACTTTGCACACAGGGTAAATATTCCCTTAATTCAGTATTGCCTATTATTATCTAACATTTTATTTTCAAATTGTAGCCTTGAGAAAGAAAATAAACATTTTCGAAAGCTTGGCGTAGCAGAAAAGAGTTTTTTTATTGAACTAGTCCCGAAGAAATAGGCTGATACCCCAAGAAATTAATAACTTTGTTATATATATATATATATATATATATATATATATATATATATATATATATATATATATATATATATATATATATATATATATATATATATATATATATATATATATATATCAAATATATCTTACCTCTAAATGCCATTGAGTTCTGTCTTATCAAAAAACGAAATGCCAAGAAAATCAAAAACATCAGCGAGAAATTCGCAAAGGGAAATTATTGACTCCGACGAAATGGAGAAATCCGAAAATTTACACGCGCGTAACGTAATTTGCGACAGATTACATCGTTTTTCTGTTTTTTTTACATACTCAAATTAACGGAAATTCGGAAGATACCGATATATTTCAAATTGAATGTCGTTTGAAAAGTGTGGAAGAAGACTTTTCTGAGTTCGATTGAATACAAACACGGTTAGAATTTCTAGACATTGACGAAAAAGAATATCGTTTGAACACAGAATCAAGTTTTTATTCTCACATTTCCCAAGCTAAAAGAATAATCTCTAAATCGCATTCACAATCTTTAAATAAAAATAATGCAATTCACGGAATTCAAAGTCATTTGTTTGCAGATGTGGCTCAGGTGCCTAGCGCAAGCGCTGCTGTTAATTTACCAGATCTCGGACTACCGAAGTTTTACGGAAATTGTGAAAACTGGTACAGTTTTTGGGATAAGTTCCAAGCGGTAGTAGAAAATCGCACGGATGTGAGTGACGTAAGAAAGTTAATGTATTTAAAATCTTGCTGCGTAGGTGATGCTTTAGGGCTAATAGAAAGCATTAATTTAACTTCTGATAACTACACGATAGCAGTTGATTTACTAAAGAAGCGATTTGAAAACCGCAGAGTAATAATTAACAGTCATATAAATACTATTTTGTTCAAATTACCTTCAGTTCCAAGAGAATCTTCAACGCTATTGCGAAATTTATTAGATTCGCTTCATCAGCATCTTTCAGCTCTAAAAAAATTAAAATTGCCAATTGATTCTTGGGACTTATTATTAATACCCATAGTTTTACAAAAGTTAGATTAAGGTACAAGGCGCGAATGGGAAAATAAATTAAATGATCAGCGATTGCCCTCTTTTGCAGAATTTGTTGAGTTTTTGACAAAAAAATTGTTAACTCTAGAAGCAGTTCAAGTAAATACCAAATATACAAAAGCAAACGTACAAAATTACAATCAACACAAACCATCATTCATCTCGAATAACAATAGACGAGTGGTAGGACACGTTCACGTACAGACACCTCAAAATTTCACAAAGACGGTGGAATGTTTTCTTTGTAAGGGTAACCATTTCATTTACCAATGCCCTCAATTTTCAAACCTATCAATATCTGATAAATACAACGAATTGCGGAAGCATAAGATTTGCACCAATTGCTTAAGATTTGGTCATGCTAAGCAAGTATGCTTATCAAGTGGATGTAAAATTTGTAATAAGAAACATAACACATGCCTTCATTCAAATAATTTTAAACAAAAAAATAGGACCGAAAATAATAGCTCAGATCAGAATCAATCGTATCGAACTGGACTCGCACGCGACAACATGCAATCTCGTACGCCTAACGATAATTTCAATCGAGGCGGACCTACTATGTGTGTGATCGAACAGAACAATAATGCATCATTAGATAATACAGAACACTCGACAGAACATTTTGAAATTCACGAAGAAAATGACTCTAACTCGAATCAAAACAATACTTATACATATGCCTCGATCAATTCTAATCAAGTATTACTTTCCACGGCAAACGTTTTAGTTCAAGATAAAGACCAAAATTGGGTAAAATGCACCGCATTACTTGACTCGGGAAGTCAGTCCAATTTTATCAGTACATCTTTTTGTGAAAAGCTCGGAATAAGTTGTGATAAGATTAATATACCTCTAACAGGTATTAATCAAATTGAAACAAAAATACACAGCAAAACAAAAACAAGAATAAAATCACGATTTGAAAATTTTAATGTAGAATTGCAATTTTTGATTATTCCCAAAATTACAGAAAAACTACCCATGAGTAGATTTGAGAAAAGCATATTAAAATTACCACAAAATATAAATTTAGCCGATGAATGTTTTCATATTCCAAAACAAATAGATATGTTATTAGGCGCAGGAATATTTTTTGATTTATTGAAAGACAGAAAATTAAAGTTAGGAATCGATAAACCAATATTGCAGGAAACTCATTTAGGATGGATCGTTACAGGAAACCTTTCTATTAATAAATTCAATACAAATAATGTAAAACAAGTTAGCAATTTTAGTGCAACAAACGTATCTAATAAACAGTTAAACGACGCATTGACAAAATTCTCGCAAATTAAAGCTCTCGAAACACACATTCCTTTATCAAAAAATGATTTTCACGAAAACTATTTTAAAGCAACAACAATACGAAAAGAAAATGGAAAATTCATTGGTAAATATCCCTTTAAACACGATTTTGAGAAACATTAGGTAATTCAAAGGCTATTATAGCATTAAAAAGATTCGAAAATTTAGGAAATCGATTTTCAAAGAATAATGATTTGATACTCGTAGGCCCGACCATACAACCCGATTTATATTCAATTTTATTACGATTACGTTTTCGATTGTATATTATGGGAGGTAGATTATCTCATTCAGAATCATCATACCGTTGCATTTTTGTGTGCTTTATTATGCGAGCATGTCACATTGAATTCATTGAATTGGCAAAAGACCTAACGACGTCCAGTTTCCTCAATGTGTTAAAACGATTTGTTTCTCGTCGAGGAGAACTCAAAAAGACTTATTCGGATAACAGATTAAATTTTGTTGGAGCCAATAATCACTTCCTCGAACTACATCGAAAATTAAACGATAGTAAACATCACGATAACGTCACTAATTTTCTGATTAATGATGGTATTCAATGGCATTTCAATCCCGCTAGATCTCCCCACATGGGTGGTTTATGGGAGGCTGTCGTGAAGTCAATCAAATTTCACTTGAAACGTATAATGTGTAAAGCTAATGTGAGTTTCGAAGAAATGTATACCTTGATCGTTCAAATAGAGGCCTGCCTAAATTCTCGACCTCTGACACCTCTTTCAAATGGTCCACAAGACTACATTTCCTTCACCCCCTCGCATTTTTTAATTGGGAACTCATTAGCTAGCATTCCAGAAGAAGACGTTATTAACATCAAAAGATCGAAACTAGACAGATACCATAGACTCCAGCAGCTGAAGCAACAATTTTGGCATCGATGGTCTAAAGACTATCTCACACAACTTCAAACTCGTTCCAAATGGAAACAAGATAAGGAGAAGTTTAATGGAAATTGGTTCCCTTGTTATTTTAATGAATAATGAAACACCACCTCTAAAGTGGCCCATGGTTCGGATTGTCGAACTACATGGTGGAGCTGATAAAGTTGTGCATTCTTGTTGTGCTTCTGTTAAATTATTTAATGGACATGTGCTAAAGCGCGCCCTAAATAAACTTTGTGTGGTGCCGCATGAAATCAATTTACCGAAAAAACATTAATAATCAATTTGTTACCTATTCATTTGAACAATCGTTTAAAGGTTTTTTTTTTTATATTTATCTTTGTTGAAAAGGGACTTTTCAAGGCGGGCGGCATGTTCAATCAAACTCATGATTTACCTATACCTAGTGGTTGCACCTCAATCTTGAAATGACAAGGTGTGATTAGTACCTATTAGGTAGGTACCTGATGGTACCTGGACTACCTCAAACAAAATATAAAGAAGATATCCATGGATGATTGGTGGCTATAAACCAACGAGACAAAAGAAAAGACAATTATAGTTATTTATGTATCAAGGGAATTATGCAGGTGTTAATACCCCAGGGCAACGTTTGTGTCCCGAGGGCCTCCGGCCCGAGGGACACCAATTGCCCGTGGGTATTAACTCCTGATAATTCCCGTGGTACATAGATAATTTTATATCCTACTGAATTTACTGTATTCTGTCTATTTTTATAAGGGAATAAGCTATAAATCAAAATTTCTATTTTTTGTCAAAGTGTTACCTATTCAAGGTAAAAGCGGGAGTTATGGAAATCCTTAACTCCCTTGGGAGTTATGATATCCTTAACTCCCTTCCTTAACTCCCTTGGGAGTTAAGACCCTGTTTATGATTATCGTAACCAAGGTATTATATGGTTTTAATAGTTCAGTAGGATATAAAATAATTAATAATAATTTTG